TTTTTTCCAAACAGAAACAAATAACAATGAACATCTATCACTTCGGATGGAGTTGAAAAAAAAATCATTTTTTTGACTATGATCATGTTGTTTCAACAAAGCATTTCATCCTTTTTCAATCTCCTAGATTCAAAATTCAGGACAATTTATTTTCAGACGTAATACTGTCACTAATATTGACATGAATAGAAAAACGTTTATTAGTAATGCGCCTGAAATTTCTTTATTATTTTTTTGTAGTTATCAAATATTGTTTATCATGATGATGTACGGTTAGAACGTTTAATGAATATCTCTGGTTATTTACGTGATATTGGCTCTCCAACTGAACCAGATGTTGAATTAATGAAAAAGAATATTGGAATATATATGGCGTGAGTTACTTATTATTATTATTATTTTTGAATATTCAATAAAATTATTATCTTATTAGACATCTTGTCTATTTTTCTTCATATATTTCTACAATATCAACATTAGCAAAATTTTTTAATTCATCTTTGAAACTTGTCGATTCTAAACAACGTTTATTTAATTCAAGTAATGGTTTTGATGAACCATTATCATCATCCTCATCGTTCTCTAATGGAATGACACCACTTCGTAATTTATTTATTTATTTTCATATAATAATTATTTTATTTTTATTATTTCAAGAATGTGAATTACCTGTACAACAACAAACTGAATCTGAGAATAAAACACATTGTTCACCTAAATTATCATTAAATAATAATAAATCTAAACAACAAACTGATGTAGCAAAACAAGCTCGTTCAATAGTACCAACACATAATGGTACACAAACTGGATTAGAAGTACGATGTGAAGAAACTCAAACTGATCGAATGCCTGGACCTGGTTTTATTCTTGCTGAACATCAAGATTATCTACGAAGATATTCAATGGATGAAGTAAAGTATTCTTTTTTTTTTTGCTTTATATTTTTCTTTCTTACCAGAAAATTTTCTTTTTTTTTTTTAGTTAGCAAAATTAACACCAGCAGATCTTATTGCTGACGGACTTGATCAAAGTACAGCTCATTTACTTTGTGGTGCTTTAGATGATTTAAAGTAAAAATCAAAAGAAAAATAGATTTAATTCTATCTCTTCATTTATTTTGTTTCTATTTAGACCGATGAGTGTTCATTTAAGTAGTAGTACTAAAAGTTCTCGATCACCACTTACTTTTGTTCAAATGCCTTCATTATCATTATCACCACCACCATCATCATCACAACCAACATCATTACCACCATTGTTAGATGCTGCTTTAATGACTGTTGTACAGCAACAACAACAACCACCTCGTACGCCGCCACCAGGTTTTGATCGAAATCAATATGAACCTATTTTAATTAATTTAGCCGGTGCTCATCCTTCTCTATCATCAAGTCCAAGTCCGAAATTACCTAAAACAGGAACAACAACATCAGGAAAAAATGGTATTCCTCCACTTCCACCACCATCACTACCATTACCGCCACCGCCGCCACCACCACAATCAACATCACAAACTCAACATCATGTACCATTATTAACTGCACATTCATTTCTATATAATCCAGTTGAACCATATATATTTCCAATAGCTATTCCGCCTGGTTTTCCATCAACAACACCTGATTTTATGCGTTTATTTGCTCCAAATATGACAGCCGTAGCCACTAATCCAACAAATACTAGTTTTGTACAAACATCAAATAGTTCACAAGGATCTGTATCTAATTCCCGTTCAACAACACAATCCAATGGTACGAATACACCACCAGAACAAAATGGACAAAATCATCATCCATCTCCGCCACCTCAACCATCATCTCGTCATCAACAACAACAACAGCAATCACAGCAACAACAATCACAACAACAACATCAGCCACAACAACATCATCAACAACAACAATCACATCATCGTCATAGACAATATCATCAATCTGATTCTATGCAATTTCAACAACAAAATGGATTTCATCCTCAACAACGACAAACACAACAAACATCTTATCCTCAGCATCAACATGTAAAACCAAAAGCATGTTATACTTGTGGCGATCTTGGACATCTTGCATTTGCCTGTCCTGAACAGTATTCATCTGATTCAAATTATTCGCAAAATACGAGAGGTAAAAAAAAGAAAGTTTATCTCAACAAATAATTCCACTACGAAAAAAAATTTTTAGAAGGTTATAAACTTGATTATCGACCACGACAGAGTACACCAACAAATCTTCAACAACAAAGGCAAATGCGTTCAAATTCAAATTCAAAAACTAAAGTTCGCGATAATAGTTAAACATTTTGATTTCTTTCCTTTTTTTTTCTTTTTCTTTTCTTCAGTCTTCCTTTACATGTTTTTTTCTCTCGTTTAAACTCATCAAAACAACGCTACATATCACGACTTCCTTTTTGCTACTATCCCTGTTTGCCTACATTTCTTTCTTTTTTTCGTATGATAGATATTCTCATTCTTTTTGTCTTTCGTCTCTCGTTTCGTTTCTGTAACACCGACGTGCGTCTTTTTTTTTTACGACATATATTCAACTCTTCCCAACTTCTTTAATATATATATATTTGCAAGTATTCTTTATATAAAAAAAAAGAATGATATTACTCTCAAAACCATACAGAATATATATCAATGTTTCTCTTTTTTTTTTCATTGATCGATATAATAAGATAGTTCGAGCATAAATTCTATGCAAGATAGAACGAAAGCGCAAAGTTTTGAAACTATGTTTGACTTTTTTTTTATTCTTGAGAATAACAGCTATAACAAATCGGAAAAAAAAGATTTGATTAGCTAAAATGATTTTCTATCAGAAGAAGTATTTGTCGAATTCCTATTAACAGGTTTGCGTGAAAAGTATCTGGAAAAACAAGAATTCTCAAAAATCTGTTTTCTATGTTTCATCAAAAACGTTTTGATAAACAATTTCATCTGATAGAGACAATATTTCTGAACAAAATAAAATATTTCCGAGCTCTTCAAGATCTATTTTCAGCGAACGACAATCATTGTGCAATAGGCTTAAAAGTCTAGTTTCTATGAAAATTTATATGAATTTACTGTAGTTTAAACTTTGGAACCTTTCATAAAACGAGTGTAGTTCGCTGAAGATAGATCATGAAGAGTTTGATGATATCGTATTTTGTTCAGAATTGTTTTCGCTATACGATTAAATTGTTTACAAAACGTTTTTGATGGAACCTAGAAAACTGGTTTTTCAGAGACCTTTCAGCAAACCTGTTAATGTAAAGTTGACAAATATTTCTTCCGATAGGAAATTATTCCAGCTAATCAAATCGTTTTTTTTCGATTTGTTTTAATGGTTACCATTGAGGGAAAATGTCAAAAATCCTTCGTTTCTAAACTTTTTGTCTCCATCTTATGATCTAACATTTATAATAAGATATTTATAATCGTCAAAAAATTTTATCTAATCTAGCCTATTTAAATTTAAATATAAATTCACCTGATAATGGTTCGAGCTTATATTCAAGAACTCAAGTTCAAATTGAACTCAATTCTGTTATGTTTGATAGCTCAACTTGAAATTGACATCTATTAGTATTTTCATATTTCAGTTTTTCTTTTTTTTTTTTTATTAAACTTATAAGTTTGTAATTTCTTTTATGATATGATAATATATATGTATCAATATGTATAAAATATCAAAGAAAAAATTATCTTATCAAATAGAAATTAATGAGATTTAATTCATATCCCAAATCAACACTTTTTTTTAATCACTATTGACAAAATTGGCGTGACTAAGTGTTACGGAATTTTGTCTTTTTTGCGAAAGTCGCAGTTTGGATCAGAATAAAGGCAAAGAAAAAGAATGAAAAGCGATCAGAAATTCACTATCAGCGTCCAATTCTGCATCAAGAAATTTTTTCTTTCTCCACTAAAATCCAAGGAAAAAAAATTTTCAACTTTTTCGATCCCAGAAATTTTTAAGAAAAAATAAAAGTCACAGTTTTGATAAACAAAATACTTCATTTCGTTTCAAATGTATGAGGGAAATTGCAACATTTTCATAGCTTTTGGAGAAAAACACAAACGAAAAAAAAAATGTTCGATTTGAAAGATGATACTATTGAAGGTCAAAGTTCGATAAATCTCAATTACGTTAAACTAGTAGTGTGTTTTATTCTATATATTCATGATGTGGCGTCATCTGCACACAATGACGTCCATAAGACATCATGTAGAATAAGTTCGCCGTAATTTTCATATCACCTAAGATAAGAATTAAACTAATTATAGAATATATTTATATTGACCTTAGTTGTAAAATAATATGCATGTTATATTCTCACATGACATATTATGCATAGAAAATCTCGCGTGACACATTGACATTGTTTTTCTTTCTTTTTCTTTATGAATTGGAAACACTCTGACGCTGATATTTTCAATGATGGATGATTGATCACAATGAATCGATAAAATAAAGAGAAATAATACAAATTTCTCTTCCTTTTAATTGATTTATTTCCTATTTGCTGGCTTTCATTTAACAGTGTGTCGATCGTATTTAGATGAGAATTGTTCAATCCTAGGTTTATTACAGTGACTTCACAACTGAGATCAAGAAAAAAAAAAACCATGAAAAAATTTGTGATAAAAATTCCAATCAGCCTTATATTCGATAAGT